AAATTTGGTCAAAATTAATGTTTTGTGACGTTTGACAAAAGCTAGATCTTAAAAATAGTACTATCGACATAATAGACTAGCTATGGCAAATGATTGCAGAGACACTACTGTCGTTTGATATTAACCGGAGTACCTAATATTTTGAATACTTTGTGATTGACCGGATAGCCAAACTACTGATTGAATTGGAGGAATTGTGAATGTATTTTTGAAGTTTAGCTCATAATAATAAGCCGTACCCATGTGTAGCCGATGAAACATACCTGTATAAAGGAGTTATGATTTTCCCTTATAATAGCCGGCGGAATTTCAATGGTGTCTTGTTCCTCTGTTTATTTCGTGGCAACAAACTGAAGTTTAAATCATAGGCTCAGTGAAATATACACTGGTATTTTAACTGAGGAGGGGTTCCAGATGGATGTCAAATAATTATTGAGTACTTTACCATGAAGGTAAGAAATTATTTGTTCTTGTATTTAGATAACTGTTTCAGAATGGTGTATCACGGATATTCTTGTGTCAATCAAAAGTCACAACTTAGGGATATCACTTTGACGCCCCAAGTTTTCTCAAATTCGTTATTAGTGATGGGAAATCATTGATATCTGTTCGAATTTATTTCCGATCATTTTTCTGGATTTATCGTAGGCATATATTTACAAACATTTTTGTGGTGAAATAATTTTATGAAATACGTGATTGTTGGCAACGAGCTACATAATAGAACGTGGAAGTTGGCACCTGATGGTACGCTTCCGAGGCCTTAGATAGGAAAAATAACGTGCAAAGATTTTATAATTGGTAATATTTGTTTCGTTCAATTACTTCTTAAGACATCCAACTTGGAAAAGGGGCTTTGGATATTTGCTAGTAAATCAATTTATAGAAATTGAAAAATTACCCGATCTGAAAGAAAAATATCCTGCCAAAAATTAACCTATCACTTCTGAAAATTTGAAATATTTAAAGAGGAGTGTAATGCGGCAGTCTCGTACGCAGATGAACATTTGCCGTGTGTAATTTTATGGTAGTCTGTCGGTAAAAGCCGAAATAAAATCAGATCAAAAATTTCACAAATATTTTACTCCACCTCTGGTTCGAATCCTCTCGTTGTACAACTCTTTTTAAAATTTATATTATAACAAGTGAGAAAGGAACATTCTCACCATAAGTTTGGTTTGTGAGGTCTTCGCTGGTCGCCAATCGCCTGAACAGGGCGCTGGGAAGGGCTGATGGCCCTGCCCTGCACATATTTTAGTGAAAAAATTTGTCACAGCTAACGACGCACAGAGCATTGTGGGTAAATTTCTGCCAGGCGCGAAGCTTGCTCGATCGATCAATGCGATACACAAGCGGCAGTTATCAACTCGATATTGTTCTTTTTCATTCTCATTGCTGAAACTATTCTGACTTCACTTTATTCCTTTATTCAAAATTGATCAAGATAACCAATGATTTGAAATATATTGCCAAAAGACACGTGATCAGTGATACAATCTTAGTGAGAAGATAAATTGTCACACTGTGATTGTACGAACGCTATATGTTTATTATTGCCAAGATTTTGCCCGTGTCAAAGCATTGCCACTGGCGAACCAAAAAATTAAATAACGCTTGCTTACAGGAAGTGCCAACCTCGCGTTCACAGGTTGTGTACAATGTAGTCATTTACAGTGCAAAGCCATCAGCTCTTTTCAGCGCCATGTTCGTGTGCTGGGCGACGAGCGAATGTGAGGTCGAGAGCCATGCATCAAATATAAGACAGGCAACCAAAACCGTTTGGGAAAAAATTCGCCCCCCCCCCTCTGGCGGCGACCAGGTGTTGGTCAAGACGTTGTTGTGTTATTGATACACGAGAGGGCGCTCACAAGACGAATAGCTAGAATGCAAGAATCGTAAGTTCTGGCCACACCAGCAGCAGCGTCTTGGGAAGTTGGTCAAATCTCCCCTGGAAAGGGGGGGGGGGGCTCACTGTGCATGCGTTACTTACTAATGCAGGTGCTTTCCTAGTCTGGATACAGACCCGATGATTGTGACAACTCCACGAATCAAGGGTCCGGAATCATCCATTGTCCACGTGTCCAAAACTGGAGGAATTCCTCCAGTTTTCCAGAAATAGCCGAAATATTCCGAAGTCGTGTCGTCCATATTCGGCATGTTCGGATGGTACCGTTGATCTTCGGTTATTCCCGACCAGGTGGCTATCTGTTGAACGTAAATTTCCGTATCCTTATGGCAGCTGTTGATCCTAAAATATTTGACTGTATTCATTGAAATCGAAGGTTGTCTTGGCGCCTGGCTGAAATGCCAGGCGAAACGATGGATGGCAGCGCGTTCAGTGCCCATTACGCGCAACGCACTTACATTGCCTGTGGTTGTTTTTATAACACCTCACCCACAGATTCTGTATCTTGATTGGCCTAAAGTGTGTCATGTGACGCTTGCTGGTACTTTCTGGTTCAAAGTGACGTCATACTTCGATACTCTATACCACCGCTTCAAAAAGAACTGAATCTGCTTGCCCTGAAGAGGGTACTCAGTTCCCGGCTCGGCAATCACATATTTCAGAGCACCGATTTGATATTATATTCTTGTCGTTATTCTGATCACGGTGCTACGCAGCCGTTCCATATTTCAAAAAGACTATCCGGTTCGTAAGTGTGACGTCACGTCAGTTTAAACCACGCCCACTGCACACGTGCACTGTAACTGCATAGAGGGGTTCCATGCACGGCGCCGTTTACGTGGAACCATGGAACCGGAAGTTAACGCGCGCCTCCAGCGAGTGTCCAATGAGAGCCTGCAAATCGTGGCGCGTTTGCCTTTGTGACGAAGTCACTTACGAACCGAACACCCGTAGCAACCAAAGAACTAGATCCCTAGCAACGAAAGTATAGGCTTTTATTTCGGCTCATGATATTGGTTAATGAATGTATTCAAACGTTGCTGTTCCGCTTGGAATTCTTGAATTAAATTTGATGAATGTAAAATGAATTTCAGTTTGGTGTTTCATTATAGATTTTTAGCTTAAATTTCGCAGAATCTGTGGGGAGGTACTAGTGTTATAAAAACAAATATTGACTGCTTTATCTCGCGGTACAGTAAAACTAGCCTCCCTCGGTGATCCATGGAGCATTCTATTTTCCCTCGGCTTTGCCTCGGGGAAATAGAATATTCAATGGATCATGTCACCTCGGGAGCGGGAGGCTAGTTTTACTATACTACTGGAAGCAGTCAATATTTGTATATTATGTGCTACCAAAAAACGTTCACTTTTTAAATTAAAAACAATTTTAAATAAACTTTTTAAATCAGTTCTGCCATTCTTTTTTCTTAAATGATGCGACCGCATTGTTTGAATCCCTATGGGCCAAATGAAGTAAGAAGAGGATTTTTTGCAAAAAAAATGGCTTCATAGAATTTTTGGTTGGAATTCTTCAACTGTGCGTACATTTTCTATACCGAGGGGTGAATTTGCCCATAGTTTTGATTTTAGTCGGGTGCAACGCAGATCACGAAAACCCCCCGTAGTTTTGAATAGGATCTGGCAGTCTATGCGTTAATTATAATTATTATTTTTATGTTCGTGTTCCAGCTATTCGTTTTGTGAGCGCCCTCTCGCATATCAACAACATAACGTCTTGACCAAGACTAACGGCGTCCCGAAGTGCACGTTTTATTTGTAGCCATAATCGATTCGGACATCAAGGGTACAGTCCACTAATTCAAGCCCCATTGAAAAAACTGTAAAATCAGCACCGTTCAGGCCAAATAACATGCATACCAACATTCCTGGGGTCTGGCCCCTAATCTTTTAATTTGTTTTCCAATTTTTATGAGTTAACCAATAACATTTTTAATTATTCCCACAAAACAATAAAAGTCCCCCCGAAAAGTGATTTTCCCGACGTTTTATTGCAGCCATTTTTCAACCCTCAACTTTCTGGGCACGTAGGATCATTGTTCAACCGTTTTTGGGTTTTTTTGCCATTCTGCTCTCATATGAAACTCAAGCACCCAGTGAGTTGATCCTGGCAACGATTTACACAATCTCACCATGATGGGGACCAAACAATCCCTTTTTCCAGAAGATACTGGGCACTTTTAATGCTAATGAGCTGGCCAGAAATTCTCACTTGCTATGGGTGCACTGAACCAATTCAAGCTCCATTGAAAGTAGTGTAAAGTCAACCAAGTTTGGAGCCCCATGGTAGGCAACTGAAGACCCTGAGGCCTCTCAAACAAAAAACAATGTGTTGTTTGGTCCTTCAGATTTCATTTGATTTTCAATTTTTAGTAGGTTAACCGATGAATTTTTTAATTATCCGCCCAAAACAAACTCACCCCCAAAAAGTGAATGTTGCCGAGCCCTCCCAACGGCCATTTTTCAAATGACATCCCTCACCTTCATAGGGCTTTTCTGACTAATTTTCAATCCCATTTTTGTCTGCTTTGCCCCCAGATGGGTGCCCCTGAATCTACAGAGATGATCTTGGGCCATACTGACACAATCCCACCATTTCTCGGCCCAAACAGACCCCTCTTTTCGAAACAATCTCCGGGGGGTACTTTTAGTGCGCCTCGTCCTGGCGGAGAATTTTCCTTGAATTGGGACACTGCACCCCTATAAGTTTCACTATGTTGTGAAATATTCAAGTTTATAACTATTTCATGGTTTAGCCCTTCATCTTGACGCTTGGGTAGTAAGCCCGCGCCCGTAAGTTATGGCTGCGACTATAGGATGCCAGCGTCAGACAGCCACTTTCTAGCGGCTGCAACAACTTCCCGCAGAGTGCGTGTGTATGTCACGGCAATCCTGCTTGCCTCAGCCACATGATTTGGACAGTCTGGAGCCGTAGAAGAGCGACAGAAAATAGTCGCGTATGAAGAAAACCATTTAAGTTGTGCAATATCTTTCCGCTGAAACACAATCTTTGATTCATTATGAAGTACAAAGGGACAAGTTTGACCCTGTAGTTTCTGTCTTTGTTTGAAGGTACAAATCTACAACTTCTTGGTTGGTGAAAGGATTGTTTTCTGTAAATAAACCAACTTTCCAGTTTGCAAATAAACACAGTGCGGCGGAAGTTTATTATTGTCATTTATTCAAGGCGTACTTCGGTCTCTCTCCTCGTGTCAGCCATTTTCTCAAAATGAGGTAAAAATTTGGAGATTATGCACCCCAATTTTAACCATTTCCATTGCTCGAAATATATCAAAAAGATCATTATTCAAAAAATGTGATTTGCAGATCATGTTTAATATTACTCACTTTATGTTCTGTCAATAGTTGGTTAGAAAACAGTCATATAACGTTCCAGATCAGGCTGATTGTTTTTCGCATTTGGTCCAGTTGGTTGTCGCATAGGCCGCAAGGCTCTACCAACTCCCAGAATTGTGAGGCACACGGCCATTTTCATTGCTTTGAAACGCTGTAGGATTCTGTTTGTACCTATTTATTATGCCTAGAACTGCACTTTATGAAATCTTCCCACCGAGAAAGCCGTCCACACCGTCATGACCGTTTACGAGCTGCTTTTAGCAAAATTCAGACTTGCAAGTTGAAGTTGGTCATTGTGTCGGCTAGCCCCATTAGTGTGGCACGGACTCTCACTCCCGATCC